AAAAAAAAAAAAAAAAAATTAAAAAGCAAAAGAAAGGGTTGTAATAGGAGCTAAGTTAAAGGAGTTTATTACTGGGAAAAACGGGTAACAGTAACAAAGCATCATATTCTGTTGTTGTTGCAGTTGTTAATGACAACTATTGTCGGTAAAGAATATTTTTGTTCGGCGTCAGCTTTACTGCTATTATCTAAAAACTTTTTTACATCGCTTTGTGTGATTTGGCTAACCAAACAAGCTTTAGCTGTGCAAGTGAGATTGTTGTTACTTGAATGAATTGGATAAAGGTTGAGAATAGAGGGAGGTGGTGAGAGAGAGAGAGCGAGAAAAAAAAAAAAGAAGGTATTGAGCAGAAAAACTTAGTTGATTGCAGAAGGTTAAATTGGCAAGAATCAACATTTTATTAATTTCTTTTACAGTTCTATTTTTAGTTGTGAATTTTTATTCGAGGTTGAAAATCTCTTCATGTTTATGTATGTCTGTGTGTCTGTGTCTGTGTGTATGTTTGTGTTTGGGTGTGGAAGTGTATTTCTATAATTTGGAAATTGCAATTATAATATGTGAATAGGTTCGAAAAACGTGACTGATAATCAAAATTTTATTTGGCAAATTTTTTGAGGGTTGTCTTTTTTGCCCGGAACGGTTTATTTCGGTGTAATCATTCTTTTTTGATAAACTGTTGCGAATATATTTGTTTATAACGAAAAGAAATACCAAACTTAGGTGTATGTTTGTATGTGTAATTATCTAAGTCTGCGCAGTTCGTGCTAGACGGATCAGTGGACGAGGTGGATGGATGCTTTGAAAAGAAGAGTAAATTTGTTTATAAAAATTAGGAATAAAAATTGGACGATAAACAAGAGAGTGAGCTGTTATATGTATAGGAATATCTTTAACGTTTCATGCATAGCTTCGTTAGTCGTTCTTGTTTTTGTCTTTTTTTTTTTGGTAAAAAACATGAATATAACGTTTTAGATCAAAAGTCGTTTTTTTCTTCTTGCAGAATTCACCATTTATTATTGTTCAAAAATCAGAAATTTGGAAAACAAAGATGAAGAGAGTTTTTTGCCGGTATTTTTTTTGCTTCAATTTCTTATTATTGTGACTGTAGCTGCCTACAGAGAAAACAGTTAAGCAGTGCAATTTTTCGTTTCTGCAAGGAAAAAAAAGTAGAGAAGTAAGACTGGATGATATTGGCACTTTTTTTTATTGCTTTTTTTTTGTTCTTGCAATTTGAATGGCAAGAGGAAATAAGAAACAAAGTGTATTGAAGTGGGAAGCGGAAAGACGCAGTTTTTCTCTTGCCCAACTTCTGTGTGCCATTAGGGAAATGGCTGTTAAAGGATTCTGGGGGATGACAGAAGAGAGGAAAGAGACTTCCGTAGAAAAAGCTATTTGTTGTTAGCGGAGAAAAAAAATACGAAAAAGAAAACTAGAGCAGTTTATTAGTCAAAAGCGTTAAATAACCTGAGTGTTGATAGCTGTTTCTGGATACGAATTTGCTAATGCCGGAGTCGGTAAACCATACTTTTCTTGGATTTACGATGAAAATGCTGAATAATGAAGACAGCGAAGGACGCTATCAGTACCTTTTAATATGGATTAGATAGATGTTGTTTATGGACAATGAATGAGAATACCGGCATTCAGTTTTTGTCTTGACGGTAAATCATGTCAGTAGGCAGAAGTTATTCGATGCCAAAATTATGTTTATTCAGTTATCATAGCACTGTTGGTTAGCAAAAGTTTTGCCGATAAACTGAGGCAGTTAATTTTGGTAAGCTGCGAAAAAATATTATCATCAAATGGATTGATCTGCGAATACAGTTTATTCAACAAAACTCGGCACTTTAAACATGTTGGAAATTTTAACAAGACTTCTGGTATAATATTTTTTGTGGTTTTATTTGTTCATGTACTACAGCACTATTCAGGAATCTTGAGTTTTAGGAGAGAGAGGAAGAATCGATTCGCAAACTTTTTTAAAAATTTGTTTTCTTCATTTCCCTGTGTTTTCGTTTTAAATAAATAATGAAAATTTCTTTATTGTAGGAAAAGTGCATGGAAAAAAATGAAAGAAGTTTTTTAGATAGTTTTATCGTGGGAATATTTCGAATGATGCATTATCAAAAGAATATTGTTTGACAAGATGAGAAAAGAACGAAATGAGATTGTGTTTTTTTGTTCGTTTGATTCAATTTTATGCTCGCTCAGTACAAATAATTGTCAATTATAACAACCCTAAATACATTTCTGCTATGAAATTAGTATTTGTTAAAAAAAAACGAAGCAGATTTAAAAAAGAAAATGGAAGAATTCATCGGGAAGAAGGGACATAGTTTCTTCAGATGTAAATACTGAAAGATACAAGTTGTCAACAACTAAGGAAACTGATGATGACTGCAAACCAAATTGATATCGGTATCGTCAAGATAGATTTTTGTTTTTCTTTTCACAATTTTGCAGATAGATCTTTGCTTTTTTTTTCCTTACAGTTTTTTAGATAGTACACAGTTTGACTTTTGGCGCAAAATAACTTTCTCAATTTTGTTTTTGAATAGAAAGAAGAAATCGTTATTGATGTCTGTCTGTATTTGCAGGTGAGAGAGGTGCTATTGATAGGTCAGTTAGCGCATGCAACTGGTTGCTCACCGGAAGAAGCCGAACATTTACTTCGCGAAAACAGATGGCAGCTGGAAGCAGCAATATCAGCTTGGTTTATGCCATCACCCCTACCACAGTGCTGTTCCAGTTATAGGGCACAGAGTGAAACCCAACAGATTCCTCAGCTTTCATCACAACATCAAGCCCTGTGTCCCTGCAATACACCAGCTACACCGCCATCGTTTGCTGACACTATCCATGCCTTTCAGAAATTGGATTGGAGAGGCAGTTTTCCTGACAAGTAAGCATTAATTCAAATTTTATCTATTTTTTGGTCTTCATTAACTACTCGGAAACCTCAATGAGTCACAGGAAGGGAAAGAGGAGAAGCTTAACGAACTTATTTTTGTTACAGTCGTCAGTGTTGCCTTGTTATCGCAATATATGTTGTCTCCTAAGTCAAAGCACTGAATTTTTTGTCGAATAGAAACTAATTTCTTTCAGCATTATCATGATTTTTTAATGAGTAAGCAGAAAAAGCTTATTCTCTTGGACTGAAGTTTATCAAATAAAGAGGCATTTTTTAGGGATGGTGTGAATCCGTTTTAGGCTAAAACTTTGTTGGGTTTTACAGTCATTGTTGCTTTCTGCTACAGTATGCAAAAAAGTACTTATTTGGAAGTTTCAACCGGATTAAATTGTTGTTTCGCTAGCAACAATAACTGCGGAAAAGCAAA